TCTTATGTTCTTATTGGAGTTTTGTTTGTGTGAGGGAGGGATGGCAAGTTCATTGTTGGAGAATATGACACTAATATCAACTCTATGGCTTATTTATCTATCACAATTCAACTAATATGACATAATAAACAAAATTAATAACATAGAAACATGGAATATACTCTAGAATGAATAAAATAAGTTATTACGTATGTCACGAGAGGTGTTGTGTTGTGTTGTTGTTGGGTATATAAGGGCCACTGAGTGTAAGCCGTCCATAATGGTGGTGAAGCAGCAGCTGAGGGGGCGGTGTTTTCTGTAGCCCTATATAACTCCAACAACATTGGAGAAGTTGGTAGAATCGCTGAATCACTAAAGAAGGAACCCTCTACCACCATCACTACGACCTTCTACCACTATTACAACTACCTTCTACCACCATCAACCATTATCACAACTGCTTCCACTCTACCACCACCACCTTTGTATTTTTCTACAAACTTTTTTATAAATTATGTGTTTCTCACATTCTTTACCAAAGGGCTGGCACTAGAAGCTTTCTTTGGAGCCATGGTAGCTTATTTAGCACTTGCAAGCACTAAAATCAATGGAATATTATGAAATATTTCGTAGGAGCATGTGAGGGGACCGTCACTCACTGGTAAACAATGGCACACTGGCTGGGAAGGGAGGCCCAGACGGCTCAGAGCGTGAGCACCCATCCCAGACGAAGGACGATTAGCGAGTTAACGAACCATTTGCGAGCCAATGTTTAGACGAAATAACGGGACTACATGTATTTCCGAAATGGACGACTTTCAGGCCGGACGATTATTGAGGGACCACTGTATGTAAAAAAAGTAGATCTTTTTTTTTTTTTTTACATTTGAAAATGTGTAAAAAAAACTTTGATCTACTTTTTTTTTTTTGTTATTTGAAAATATGTAAAAAAAACGTAGATCTACTTTTGGAGCACTACACACGTGAACGTAGATCTGCCTGGACCATTTACGGGTTAAGTGCCAAGTTAGAGGATGATGGTGTGCCATTCTATTTTATTCAATAAACACCCTGCCACTTACCTCTCTCACATTAATATTAATATTTTAAGGTAAATAATAAGTGTACTCTGTGTGTATCTTACCTTTTATTGTGTTTTTAATGTCTATTTCTATTGCTAACTTAATATAAGTTAGTGTAAACTTGTTGTCTGGCATTTATTGCATAATTTATATGTGCTCTGATAATAATACTTGTGGACCTGTGTGGTAGCCAGGTGGAGGGACAACATTACATTTTCTCTGCTCAGCCATCAGAGAAAACATGTATGAATCTGTGTTTGGCCCAGCCACTCCCCCACTCTGCTTTTGATTACAACTGTCGGCATGAATTATTCATTACTTCTCCCTTCGTTTATGATGGCATCTAAAGGTAGTTGTTAGAAACGATTAAATTCAGTGAACAAGGTATGTCGATGCCAATTATATGGCTCTGGGCCACAGTGTAGGTAGCCAGTAGGTGTAGCCCAGGCGGGCTACACCTACCGGCTACCTACACTGACTTCCAACAAATAAATACTACTCACCTCTCTTCCTATATTAAGACTACACATATTTTAAGGTAAATAGTGAGTGCACTATATGTGTATTTTAACTCTCTGGGATGTTTTAAATATCGTATATTAAGTATGAGACGGGGAGCCAGAGCTACCTACACCTGGGCTACCTGCACCTGACTTCCTACAAGTAAGTACAGTGGTTCCTCGCTTTTCATAGTTCTCGGCAATCGTAAATTTCGCCAATCATAGGGGTATTTTCATATAAACATGGACTCGCTTTTCATAGGTTGACTCACAAATAGTAGTTCGTCCGGGACGCGTATGCACGGTGTGAGCCGGGGCGGCCTCCCTACCCAGCCAGTCTGGCATTGTTTACCAGTGAGTGAAGGTCCCCTCAAGTGCTCCTACGAAATATTTCATAATATTCCACTCATTTTAGTGCTTGTAAGTACTAAATAAGCTACCATGGCTCAAAGAAAGCTCCTAGTGCCAAGCCTGTGGTAAAGAAGGTGAGAAATATGTACAGTGACAAAGTCTTGGGCCATTTTAGGGAAGTGTTAAAGAGATGCCAGAAACAGAGCTCTCTCCACAGTTACTTTGCGAGACAGGACTAGAGTGACTCTCAAGGTGGTCCTAGTGGCATTAAGAAACAGAGAAGAGAAGCAACCCCAGAGAAGCAATTGGTACCTGAGGTGTTGCTGGAAGGGGATATCCCTTCCAAACTGTAAACAATCCAATCTCTCTCCTCCTCCAGTCTCCTATACACTAAGAAGAATCTCCAATAAAGGTAAGTGTTACGCTGTTAATGTTTCATTCATCATTTCCCATTGTATTGTTTATGTACTACATGTATATTTCATGTAAAAAATTTTTTTGTTTTAATACTTCTGGGTGTCAGGAACGGATTAATTGTATTTACATTATTTCTTATGGGGAAAATTGATTCGCAAATCATAAATTTCGTTTATAGTAACGGCTCCAGGAACGGATTAATTACGAAAAACGAGGGACCACTGTACTACTCACCTCTCTCCCTGCATTAAGATTATAAATACTTTAAGTAATGAATGTACTGTGAATGTATTTTACTTTGTGTGTTTTTAATGCCTAGTTCTATTACTAACTTAATATAATTTAGTGTAAACTTGTTGTCTGGCATTTATATGCATTTATAAATGGAAATAATGGCGTTCTGCCTTCCGGCGATGTCTGCTTTCCGGCGACAGCCTGGAGCCTAACCTACCGTATAAGTGGGGCCCTACTGTATTTCATTTTTTACTTTACTTTTTATGCTGTTAGTACTGTATTTTATACTGTAAGGTTTAGGATAAACACTTTGTACACCACAAACAGTTGTCTATTTCCCAGAAATCTGGCATAGAAAACAAGGTCATAAGTCGAATGGTCGTATGTCGAGCAGGTCGTAAGTTGGATGGTAGGTGCATTTGTAATCTACCACTCTTCACCTGCTTAGACTTAAGTAATCTTTAAGTATTAGGTAAAGTCTGCCCGAAATGCCTCAGCATGATAGTGGCTATCTTCGTACCAATCAAAAAAAAAAATAAACTTTTGATTTGATTTTGATTTTATTTAATTTGATGAACTACACAAAACTGGCCTCAAACCTTTGCTACTGCTACACAAATTTACTAATCTATATTTAGATATCAAAATCTGCCTCCAACATGAAGTTTTAATCACAAAAAAGTCTTTATTTTTGCACTAATCTTGATAATACCACTATACTATACGATAATACCAACACATTACGTTGCATAAAGTTACTCAATAAACTTTCTAAAATATCAGCAATTTTTTATATAGTACTGTACTGTGTTGTAACTGTTATACAAATCAAATCAAATCAATCAAAAAATTTATTTATTTTCTGCAGTATAATATAGTTTACATATAATAAAGTATTGTTAGGCACAAAAAACAGCCACCAGAATGTGGTGCATTTTAAGCAGACAAATCCTAATGCTTAAAAACTACTTAAGAACTAGACGTGGGTTATTAAGTAGAAGTTTTAAAATATACAAAAAAGAGAGGTAGTTAAGTAAACAATAGTAAAATTTTAAGTATGCATTAATACTTCAAAATGATTCAGTATTTTTCAGTAAAGTGAGATTTCATAAGTAGTTTCAAACTGACTTGATGCCTTCAGTTTATTGGATGACTGAAAGAGATGGTTAAGATATTGTATTTATGTTTTATCACACGATCATAAATTCCAGACACATATACAACAAATTTCCAAGAAAATCTCTAAAACAATAAGCATACCATCAAAGATACAGTACTATGTTCCACAGTCAGCTCTCCTGGCACTGTATCATTCACTCATCTACCCTTATCTCACATATGGAATTTGTGCATAGGGATCAACAACATTAAATTGCCTAAGACCACTAATAACCCAGAAAAAGGCTGCAGTCAGAATGATAACAAATTCCCACTCCCAACAGCATACTCCACCAATATTCAAAAGTCTAAAACTGCTCACCATACATAACATCCATACTTATTCTTGTACCTACTACATACACAGAACACTACACTCAAACATAAACCCTCCACTCAAACTTCTCACCAACCTTAACAGGACACACGACCATAACACAAGACAGAGATCCTTTTTTGATGTACCCCGTGTCCATATCACACTGTGTAAAAACTCTATGCATATAAAGGGTCCCAAAATTTGGAATTCATTACCAGAATATACTAAAGTAACCCAGTCTGAACATCAATTTAAGACTCTTCTCAAAAACCACCTACTCAACCTTAACTAAATACTCAATACTCAATATTTAACTTTACCAAAAAATCTCCCAATTACCTAAATCTGAAAACTTCAAAACTAGATGCCCAAAGTCATAAATTACTTAATACTATTGCCTGCACTCTGAAGGAGGGGTGTTAATGTTGCAGTTTAAAAACTGTAGTGTAAAGCACCCTTCTGGCAAGACAGTGATGGAGTGAATGATGGTGAAAGTTTTTCTTTTTCGGGCCACCCTGCCTTGGTGGGAATCGGCCAGTGTGATAATAAAAAAAAATAACCTACCCAAAACAATACTACCTTACACCCAACTGTAGCATTCTCATACTGTAAACTACTTTCAATAACTCACAATGTTATATTCCCATAATATAATTTAAATATTTACTATTGATATACAAAACCTACAAAATACCTTCAACTTTCCCAATGTAATATCCCCAGATTGTAATTTGAGTAAACTTACTGTCTACTATAAATAAAAACAGATGTACAACTTAAAAACACTATGATCAATTTCTCTAGTATTAAGTAGTCTGTAAGCCATTAACTTTAGTCTGCCCATAATGTCAAGGCATGATAGTGGCTCTCTCTTGCACTGTAACTCATTATTGTAATTACATAATCTCGATGTAATCTTGCAAGGAAATAAAAATTTGAATTTGTATTTGTATAACTTACCATCATTATTAACTTTGTCATTTTCTCTAACAGGTATAGGATACTCCGATGTGAATGTCCTGCCATTGTGAGAGTCTGTGGAATACCAGTGAAGAAGCAATATTAATTTTAGGTGAAATTGAAATTTTATAACAATTTATATTATGGTCAAAGGGTATATACTCTGCAGGAAAAATTAGCAGAATAATATGGTTAAAGACGTCTGTTAAATCTGAATTATATTCTAATCTAACATAGTTTACTAGGTAAATTCATTTTGAATTTAACAAACTAAGAATAACATACTATTCAGCATTAAACCCTCTAACTGTCCAAACAGAGATCTATGTTTGTGAGCGTAGCGCTCCACTCTTGATTTTCTCCTTAAGAAAGAATGTAAAAAAACGTAGATCTACGTTCGGAGCGCTACGCGAGCAAACGTAGATCTACGTTTGGACAGTTTAAGGGTTAATGTACTTTGTTGCTAATGAATGAATAAATAGAGGGTGTGGTAGGTAAGTTTGGGGTGCCAGGTGTAAATGATAATGGGAGCCCTTTGATTGAACTTTGTATAGAAAGGGGTTTAGTTATAGGTAATACATATTTTAAGAAAAAGTGGATAAATAAGTATACAAGATATGATGTAGGGCAAAATGACAGTAGTTTGTTAAATTATGTATTGGTAGATAAAAGACTGTTGAGTAGACTTCATGATGTATATGTTTATAGAGGGGCCACAGATATATCAGATCACTTTTTAGTTGTAGCTACACTGAGAGTAAAAGGTAGATGGGATACAAGGAGAATAGAAGCATAAGGTAAGAGAGAGGTGAAGGTTTATAAACTAAAAGAGGAGGCAGTTAGGGTAAATATAAACAACTATTGGGAGGATAGATGGGCTAATAAGAGCATAGGCAATGGGGCCAAAGAGGTATGGGGTAGGTTTAAAAATGTAGTGTTAGAGTGTTCAGCAGAAGTTTGTGGTTACAGGAAAGTGGGTGCGGCAGGGAAGAGGAGCGATTGGTGGAATGACGATGTAAAGAGAGTAGTAAGGGAGAAAAAGTTAGCATATGAGAAGTTTTTACAAAGTAGAAGTGATGCAAGGAGGGAAGAGTATATGGGAAAAAGAGAGAGGTTAAGAGAGTGGTGAAGCAATGTAAAAAGAGAGCAAATGAGAGAGTGGGTGAGATGTTATCAACAAATTTTGTTGAAAATTAGAAAAAGTTTTGGAGTGAGATTAACAAGTTAAGGAAGCCTAGAGAACAAATGGATTTGTCAGTTAAAAATAGGAGAGGAGAGTTATTAAATGGAGAGTTAGAGGTATTGGGAAGATGGCAGGAATATTTTGAGGAATTGTTGAATGTTGATGAAGATAGGGAAGCTGTAATTTCGTGTATAGGGCAAGGAGGAATAACATCTTGTAGGAGTGAGGAAGAGCCAGTTGTGAGTGTGGGGGAAGTTTGGGAGGCAGTAGGTAAAATGAAAGGGGGTAAGGCAGCCGGGATTGATGGGATAAAGATAGAAATGTTAAAAGCAGGTGGGGATATAGTTTTGGAGTGGTTGGTGCTATTATTTAATAAATGTATGGAAGAGGGTAAGGTACCTAGGGATTGGCAGAGAGCATGCATAGTTCCTTTGTATAAAGGCAAAGGGGACAAAAGAGAGTGCAAAAATTATAGGGGGATAAGTCTGTTGAGTAAACCTGGTAAAGTGAATGGTAGAGTTATTATTGAAAGAATTAAGAGTAAGACGGAGAATAGGATAGCAGATGAACAAGGAGGCTTTAGGAAAGGTATGGAGTGTGTGGACCAGGTGTTTATAGTGAAACATATAAGTGAACAGTATTTAGATAAGGCTAAAGAGGTTTTTGTGGCATTTATGGATTTGGAAAAGGCATATGACAGGGTGGATAGGGGGGCAATGTGGCAGATGTTGCAGATGTATGGTATAGGAGGTAGGTTACTGAAAGCAGTGAAGAGTTTTTATGAGGATAGTGAGGCTCAAGTTAGAGTATGTAGGAAAGAGGGAGATTATTTCCCAGTAAAAGTAGGCCTTAGACAAGGATGTGTGATGTCACCATGGTTGTTCAATGTATTTATAGATGAGGTTGAAAGAGAAGTAAATGCTAGGGTCTCGGCATGAGGTGTGGAGTTAAAAGATAAGAAGAAAATTAAAAGTGAATACAGGAAAGAGTAAGGTTATGAGGATAACAAAAAGATTAGGTGATGAAAGATTGGATATCATATTGGAGGGAGGTTGAGGTGGTTCGGACATGTACAGAGAATGGAGCGAAACAGAATGACTTCAAGAGTGTATCAGTCTGTAGTGGAAGGAAGGCGGGGTAGGGGTTGGCCTAGGAAAGGTTGGAGGGAGGGGGTAAAGGAGGTTTTGTGTGCGAGGGGCTTGGACTTCCAGCAGGCATGCGTGAGCGTGTTTGATAGGAGTGAATGGAGACAAATGGTTTTTAATACTTGACGTGCTGTTGGAGTGTGAGCAAAGTAACATTTATGAAGGGATTCAGGGAAACCGGCAGGCCGGACTTGAGTCCTGGAGATGGGAAGTACAGTGCCTGCACTCTGAAGGAGGGGTGTTAATGTTGCAGTTTAAAAACTGTAGTGTAAAGCACCCTTCTGGCAAGACAGTGATGGAGTGAATGATGGTGAAAGTTTTTCTTTTTCGGGCCACCCTGCCTTGGTGGGAATTGGCCAGTGTGTTAATAATATGTTAATTAATAATATCTGTATATCACCCTACCTCGGTGGGAGACGGCTGACTAGATGAAAAAAAAAATGTATATGAGTGCATGTGTGAAAGCATGTATAGTAGGACCACCGTATCAGCAAGTCTTGTTTCTGTGGTTTCAGTTATCTGCGGTTTACCCTGGCCCAAAATTAACTGTTAATTTTGCTTAATAATGACACCAGAGTGAAAAAGTAGTGATGGTGACAGTTCTTCAAAGCCTAAGAGAGGTCATGAAGTGCTTCCCATCAGTCAAAAAGTGCTAATTCTCGACTGACTTATTGTGTGTAATTTATCAATTAAACTTTATCATAGATATGTATCTTTCTTCTTTCAACACACCGGCCATATCCCACCGAGGCGGGGTGGCCCAAAAGGAAAAGCAACTGTTTTGCCTTCTCACAAATAGTAGACTCTACAACACTGTCTCCCACTAATTCTTTTTTCTTAATCCACAATAATAATAACTTTTCCATCTCTTCCATTATTGGTGTCCTTTGTTTAGTTAGAAAAGCTACTCCTTTTGCAACATTAGCATCTTTGATTTGTTTTTTCTTTGCCAGGATGGAAGTAATTGTTGATTTATTCTTGCTGTACATCCTGGCAAGTTCCACCACCTTCATACCACTCTCAAATTTTTCTATCACTTCACACTTAAATTCCATGGTGTTTCTCACTTTCTTTACCACAGGAACTTTATTAGGAACTATCTTTGGAGCCATCTTTACTTATTTCACAGTTGCACTGCAAGAAAAACCACTAAAAACAATGGTAAACAAGAGAAATGTTTGAATGTATGAGCAGAAGCTTCCTCAGGCACCAAGAGACAAAGCCAAACTGAAGCACAAGCTGCCCCAGCCAGCAGATGGACGCATCCAAAACGGCCGATAACCGGGTGCCAAAAACCCCGCCAATAACTGAGTTGGTCGATAACCAAACCGGCTGATAACCAGGGGTCCATTGTATATGTATACAGGAGAAGGGATTACTAGCCCCTTGCTCTTGGCATTTTAGTCGCCTCTTACGACACGCATGGCTTACAGAGGAAGAATTCTGTTCCACTTCCTCATGGAGATAAGAGAAAATAAACAAGAACAAGAACCAGTAAGAAAATAGAAGAAAACCCAGAGGGGTGTGCATATATATGCTTGCACATAGTGTAAGTAGAAGCAGCAAGACGTACCTGAAATCTTGCATGTTTATGTGACAGAAAAAAGACACCAGCAATCCTACCATCATGTACATGCCTACAGTATCAAAGGAACTTGCTGGAACAAGATAAATTACAAGATGCTGTTAATGTAAACAGTCCCAGCTTACCAACAGACACAAACCAGGATAATTGCACACAAAATACTCTTCAGATAATTAAAGACAAGATGCACATGAACACTGAAGCTGCACATATCAAGGAGGCTTGACTGCTAGGCAGACCGGGCCAAAAACTAAGTGTGATGCTAAGATTTCACTCGCTTGGCCGAAAAAAGAACCTGATTTTTTTTGTGCAGCATACCTCAGCCAGTGAACACTTGGTATTGAATCATGTCACTCACTGACATTGTAAACAAAGATGCACGAAATCAATGGTGGAGCTTAGATTACTTTAGGTTGCAGAGCATTTGTTAATGAATGTTTAACAAGAAAGCGACAAAGCCTACTGTACCAACTTCGTAAACTCAAACGTGACAATAGTGATAGAATTAAAAAATATGTCACTCATGATGGCACAATCATAGTGAAACAGTCAGACACGGGTCGAGGCTACAAAATAACAAATGAACATGTCCTATCAAGGTTCCTCCAAATTGCTGGTCTGACAAAGTCTGGTTAATCCAATATTCTCATCAATATCAACCATGTATAGTGCAACATGTATAGTGTAAACTGCACCACTTCTTATTGCTAAACATATAGTGCCTTACTTCAATTCCTTATTCTTATTCAATCTCCTACCTTGATAACAATATTATCATTTAAAAGACACACATATATTTTTTACTATAAAGTAATTATAGTTTTCTTATATACATTTGTTAATTAACCATAATTAATTAGTTGTATTTGATTTCAAATTAAGCTACTTCAAACTTCCTTGTTCTAGTACAATACTAGTTCTAGTATATATATACTTTCTTTTTACCATATTGTTTGTCAGTTTACAGTAACCCTTTCAGGGTCCGTGCCATAGATTTACGGCTTTACGTTGAGGGTCCAAACCGTAGATCTACGCCATGAGCTCAGCTCACTCTGATAAGCTGTGAGCGGTAAATTTGGGTCTAGATGTGAGAGAATACATCTATGTGGTATGTGTGCACCACATAAAACAAATATTGCAGCACACAATGCATAATGAGAGA